GGCAATGCCTTTCCCTCTTACGTAATGAAGGTCCTATTGGGCATTTCCCCCCGCCAAAAAAAGTCCAATTTTGTCCTAGTTGAATTCATGCTGGGAATGAAACCCGCAGCCTCCACATACATCCTCCGCAGAGTCAGCCGGGAATGGTCAATGTCCTTTTGATTAGCACTCGCCACCTCCCCGTGCCTCCCCACTGTGTACGCCTGCGCTCCTGAGTTGTCCAGATCGTATGGCTGGACTGGAACACCTCGAGCTGCTCGGCTCGCTCCCACAATACTTCCATTAACTCACCAGGGAGGCTTTTGGCCTTCTCGCGCATGTCTCACTGTCGAATAAGCCATCACCATTGAGTTGCTTCTGATTTATCTAAATTAATGGTGACTTTTCAGCCTCTTCAGTAATCCGGGTTCTTTGTTTCATTGTTAACGATTTCACACCTTTTTGCTATATTTGCCATTTTAATCAGTTGTTCCCCTCCCCACCCCACCTCCTCCAAATGTTGATAATGTCCACGAAGCCATGTTGTATTCAGCCGCCAAATCAGACAAGTGGTGACCTGATTCAAATTTCATGATGATTTCTTTGTATGGCTCTCCCATAGTTTCACAGTTTCCCTCTTAGCTTTACTGTTGGTAACACTAACTTTCTTGGAAGCCTTGGTTACGATGTTTTACACAAAAAAAGAGCGATAATAAAGGCGCACAGGTGAATGTTTGAACGCACCAACAGAAGCACGATATGTTGTCTGAGAGCGCAGTGCTCAGACGAAGGGTCAGCCCTTTGTGTCTGTGGTAAGACTCGATGCGGGCCTTACTCTCGGCCTGTGCGGCTTGTGTCAAGTTGGATGTTTGGTTCGACTATTGTTCAAAGTTCCCAACACCGAGCAGACATTTTTCCTCACTTTTCTGTTTGAGTAGTGGCAAGTTTAAGCTTGGAACCGTTCGACAACCGGCGTATCCCTGTAGTTGCATATGGCTGTGGCTGTGCAGAGTCTACGCATTTCCAGCACATCCCTGTAAAGACTTCTTAACTGGTTTAACAGACTCTCCGTGTGGCTTCCCTGTCTCGGCTTTTTAATGTTCCCCTTAGGCAAGTAAATGTTTAAAGTTTATTGTGAAACACAGAAAACATTTTTACTCTGGTGGACATGCGGGAAATCTTAAATCTTTCCCTGCATATGCGTGGATGGATGTGACAAAAGAATTAGTTCAGATCTGAAAGGACTGTGTGTATCATCCAGTTCTAATTAGTGGGATTTTCCCTTGACTTGGGCTGCCTGTGGCAGAGGAGGGGGGGATGCTCTTGGACCTTCTGTGGGTGTGAAGATCCTCAAATTGTGCCGTGAGTGCTTCACATTCTCAAAACATGGCCATTGGTCCCAGCGCATCCCGCGGCCACTTGCTTCATCGTTTCAGATGGTCTCACTTTATTTCTGATCAGTCCTCAGTGGGCAACAGAAAAGTGCTAACTCTCTGGAGTTGGTCTTTGACTCCGTGCTCGCCATCATGTTCTTGGCGCTCTTCAGTAGCACCAAGGAAAATATCCTTGCATACAAAGCTTAAGAAATCTGTTGGGGGGAAAAAATGACCTTTCATAAGGTTAACAGTTGTGTCCTGATTTTTCTGTATAGCTTCAGTTCCTTGCGTTCAGTTAGCCCTCTGGTTCAGGCTCAAGTCATTCAGAATAAAACAGTGGTTCAGCAAATGCCCAGTCAGTTGGTACCTGTGCTGTGTGACAGGAAACGCACACCCATTGTCCTGGGTGTGGGTTTTGGTACTGTACTGGTTCTGTACTGGCTCATTGCCTATGTAAGACAGTCCTATGTTGAAGCAAGATGGTGAATAGCCCTCTTCGGGGTGGTTACTCAGTAATATTTAAAGGTCTATGGGCAGCTGTGTGGTATGTGTTAATAAATTTGTCATCCACGTTCTCTACCTTAACCCATATCACATGCCTGTGAACTTTTCTGGGTGGCTTGAGGCCTGCTAATACACAAGAACAAAGCTTAATTTTTGCAATCTGAGGAAATCGTTTCGTTTTTCCTAGATAGAAATGGCCAGATGCATGCTGGTGCTCAGTCAATTTAGGATAAGTTTTAGAAGAAGGTGGCCTATGTGATCACCTGTTACTTTGCACATTAAAGCGTGATTGAGAATGTAAGTTGTGTTTCAAGTACGGATGTCTCTGTACTTCATTGTTCCCTTTCCTAACACTGTGAAGACTACCACACACGTGGAAATGCACGCCTCTTGGATGGTGAGGAGCTCATGAAGAACTGGAGGCTCTAATCTCCTGTCACGCAGTAGCCGTGATGCTACTAGCATATGCATGATTTGGGGCATGCATAGGAATGGGATATGCCAGACTCCTTAAGAAAGTATACTCCAAAGTTTGTAGTTCAGATCTGATAAATGTTTCCACTGAACGTACCCTCTTGATCAGACCATGAAGTCCAAGACCCAGGGCACGTGTAATGTGAAATGTCTCCCTAGTGGAGTTGTGGACTATATGTGGTCACCAGTGTCTCATTCATCCCTGCAGAGATCTCCTTTCGAGTGTGGCAGTGTGGCGGCAGCCTGGAGATCATCCCCTGCAGTCGTGTGGGACACGTGTTCCGGAAGCAGCACCCCTACACTTTCCCTGGTGGGAGTGGCACCGTATTTGCCCGGTAAATAGTAAGGCTGAGTATGGACAAGAATACTGCTGACCACACTCAGATAGGCGTTGGCCTTTTAGCTGGCTAGAACAGCCACACTTGCTCATTGGGTGAGGGGTTAAGCAAACTGAACTACAGCAGTATTCCAGCAGAAGAATTCAATCAGAAACCTAAAGGGATAAGCGACTGATGGATAGGACAATTTGGGTGAGCCTCAGGCCTCTGTGCTGAGTTCAAGAAGCCAACCTCACACGGTTACGTCCATCTATAGGGCACTCAGCCCAGGTAAACCTGTGGTGACGGATAAGAGATCAGCAGTTGCTAAGGCTTGGGTTGGAGAAGATCTGACTGCAGATGGGCAGTACAGAAGATTTTTCTGGAGAGTGATAGGATTTTTTTGTGTCCTATTTGTTTTGATAGTAACACGTGTGAAAAATCATGGAACTGTACAAGGGTAAAAGTATTGCTATAAAAAGTATCACAGGATGTGCTTTACGCAATTGATCTATGTATTGTGATGAATTGTATGAGCCCCAAAAAATTGATAAAAAAAAAAAAAAGAAAGAAATGGAAACAGAATTGGACTAAAAAAAAAAGTATCACAGGAACCGATATTAAACAGAGATCAGTATGTGAAGCTATTGTTTCTCCACATATCCTCCACCTAGGCCTATACCTTTCTAAGGTCTCTAACTTTTCCCCAAGGAACTCTGCACTCCTCAATATACACTACATCAAAACAGCAGTTTTGTCATACTTGAACTCAAATTATGTTCCTTTTAAATATTTTTTGGGAACAAAAAAAAGTCTGAAGGAGCAAAATCAGAGCTATAGGGAAGATAGGGAAACGTTTCCCAATGAAATTCTCGTATGATAGTTCTTGAACTAGCAGGCGCATTGTCATGATGGTTAAACTTCCTTAGCTTTTTCCTGGCCTCAACTTTCCTGGCCTTTTCCTCGCCAATAAAGTTTTCCATTTTCTTAAAGCTTCTTCTTAATAAACCCCTGGGCTAGGCCGGATTGACTAGAGAAACAAATCCAGTGACACTCGTGTGTGCAAGAAAGCTTTATATCAAGAAGCAATCATACATCAAGAAAATATACCAGCCCAGTCCAACTCAAGGCCATAAGTCCAGTACTAGTGCTTAAGTCCCCTTTCAGACTCACAGCCACAAGCAATGATGCAGAATTCAGGAAGATCACAGCACGGTGGATGCAAAGTCATGTGGATCCGATGGCAGTGGACACACCTCCAAGGCTCTGGCAGTAACCAGGGTCAGGAAGGTGAAGGCACAGAGAGAAGGGAGGTTCCCAGGGCCCTCCTTATGAGAAGGAAGCACCATCAGGCTGATTGACAGGCTAAACTCCACCCCTACACTTTCATATATCTTCAATTTGACATGAATATTATATAACTACCACAACCTCCATGATCATCCTTTGAGAAAAATCTATGAAGATGACGCCTTTGGTGGTCCAAAAAAACAATTAGCATAACCATCTGAGTTGCCCTCTGTCTTGAATTTAATTGACCCAGCAGATCCTCTTGGAAGCGACGATTTCTGATTAGACCTTTAGGTTGGGTTGGGTTTTTAAGACACCCTGAAGAGACTAAGACAAGTGTATTACCAAAAGAATTTGTCTGTAGCCACCCTCCTACAAATTGGTATATAGAAATAACCTCTGGCAAACCTATACTTGCTCGTGGGTGTACCATACATACCCTTTCCCACACCTGCTTAGCTTACATCTCTACCGGTGTACCCTCTCATGAATGAATGCTAGTTATTGTATATACCATGGTTGACTTTTATTCTTGCATACCTCCCAGTGTCTTCCTTTACTTTGATTATGTTGTGTTGGCCACCTCTAATTATGCATTGCCTTTCCCTTCATTCAAGTTAATAAATGTCTACTGTCTAGTTAGGGAGCCCTGGTGGCATAGTGGTTACATGTTGGATTGCTAACCGAGAGACTAGCATATGGGGCTTTCTAGTCCCCATACGGGGCTTTGTAGTCTCATAGAGATTTACCGTCTCAGAAACCCACAGGGTAGTTCTACCTTGCCCTTAAAGGGTTGCCGTGAGTCAGAATTGACTCAATGACGATGAAGTTTGTGGTTATTTTTTTTAATCTAGTTAGTGATTTTCCCTCCTGCTCTCTCTCATTCTTAGTAATCATTAAAGAATGCTTCTTTCTGTAATAGTTGCCCTTTTTCAATTGACTTTTTCCCCACTTAGTATAATATTGTTGTGGAGTACTTCATAGATTCATTGCTGTTTTTAAATGTTGCATAGTATTCTGTTGTGTGTATAATTGGTGCATCCATTTATCTGTTGATGGGAATTTCGGTTGTTTTCTGTTCTCTGCTGTTGTGAATAATGCTGCTGTGAATGTGTTGTTGTTAGGTTCTGACATGCAGCAACCCTTTGTAAAACAGAAAGAAATACTTCCTGGTCCTCTAGCATCCTCACAATCACGCGTCATGAGTCGGTAATTGCAGCCGCTCTTCACTGAATCTCTACTTTCCCGGGCATGGTGGCCTTGTCTAGGAGCTTGGCCTTGTAGTTAGCACATCTGGAGTCATTTAGACTGAGTCTTACTATACTTACTTCTAATAACATTCTAGCTAAATAGCTTCTAAGACAGATTTGTTCCTTCTTCTGGCAGTCCATGGTATATTATTTAATAATCTCCACCAACACTATAATTCAAAGGCATTAATTACCCTTCAGTCTTTATTATTTATAGTGTCCAGCTCTTGCATGCAAATGAGGTAATTGAACATATTATAGCTTGAGTCTGGCACACCTTAGCCCTTAAAGTGACATCTTCCTTTGCTCTTTAACACTTATAAAGAGGCCTTGTGCAGCAGATTTGCCCATGTAGTATGTTGTTTGATTTCTTGACTGCTGGCTTCCATGAGCCCTGGTGGTGTAGTGGTTACGCCTTGCACTGCAATCCGCATGGTCAGTAGTTCAAAAACACCAGCAGCCTCTCAGGAGAAAACCTGGGCTTTCCACACCTGTAAATAGTTACAGTCTCAGAAACCCACAGAGGCTCGCTGGAAGTGAGTTTGGGTTTTTTGAACCTCTGATTGTTGATGGTGGGTCCGAGTAAAATGAACCCCTTGACAACTTCATCTGTCTCCATTTATCATGAAATTGGTTCCGTTAAAGGGATATTTGTTTCCTTTACATTGAGTTGCAATCTACCCTGAAGGCTGCAGTTGTTGATTTGTCATCGGCCACTGTTACAAGTCCTTCTCCCAGGAAGCAAGGTTGCGTCATCTGCACATCACAAATTGTTAATAAGCCTTCCTCCAAAACTGATGCTGCATTCTTCTTATAGTCCAACTTCTTGGATTATTTGCTCAGCATATAGATTGAATACGTGTGTGAGAGGTTACAACCCTGATGCACACCTTTCCTGATTTTAAATCATACAGTAGACATGTTTGAACAACTGCCTCTTAGTTTATGTACAGGTTCTGGATGAACACAATGAAGTGTTGTGGAATTCCTAAACTTTGCAAGGTTATCCATAGTTTGTTATGATCCACACAGTTGAATGCCTTTGCATAGTTACTAAAACACAAGTAAACATCTTTCTTGCATTCTCTGTTTTCAGCCAAGATTCATCTAATAGCAGCAGTGAAACCCTTCGGTCCATGTCCTCTTCCGAGAGGACATGAATTTCTGGGAGATCTTTGTCAATGTACTGCTACAGCAATTTTCAAACTATCTTCAACAGAATTTTACTTACATGTGATATTGTTCAATAATTTGTACATTTTGCTATGTACATTTTTTTGGAATTTGGTACAAATATGGACCTCTTAAGGTATGTTAGTTAGAAGTTTCCTGGCTTGGACTAACATGTGCTTCCAGTGCTACATCAACTGTTGAAACATTTTAGTTGATACTCCAATAGTGCTTAGGGCCTCGTTTGCCACTAAGACCTGCAGTGCAGTTGGACTTCTTCCTTCAGTACCATTGAGCTTGATCATATGCTACCTCTTGAGATGACTGCATATCAATCAGTTCTTTGGGTATAGTGACTATGTAGTCCTTTCGTCATCTTTGGATGCTACCTGCATTATTTAATATTTTACTCATTCAGTATTGCAACTCAAGGCTCGGATTTTTCCTCAGTTCTTTCAGCTTGAAATATGCTGAACATGTACTTCCTTTTGATTTTTTAACTCCACAGCTTTTGCACAATTATTTTAATACTTAACCTTCTCAAAGTGCCTTTTGACATTTTCTCTTCCCCTCTTTTATTTCATTTCTTCAGATGCTTCAGCTACTTTATGTCCAGAGCAAGGTTCTCAGAGTCTCTTCTGACATCCACTTTTCTTTTGGTCTTTTCTTGCTTGCTTTTAACAGTCTCTTGCTCTCTTCACTTACGGTCTTGATGTGACCCCCAGTTCAGCAGACAGTCTGCCACTAATGTCCAGTGCATCAGTCCGTGCTTGAGATGTGCTGTGAGGTCTGTTGAAATATACTCAAGGTCGTATTTTGCCTCTGGTGGACGTTTAAAATTTTTCTTCTACTTCAACCTGGATTTACATGAGAACAATTGACAGTAAATTGCATTCTAAATAATAGCCCGTTACACATCATTCAAAATAGGCTCTTTCATATAACAACATAATAGATTTTATTGTATTGCATTTTATATTATTATATAATGTGTCATAATGAAACCCAGAAACCTCACTGCCATTGAATCACTTCCAACTCATATCAGAACCGCCCGTGTGGGTTTCTGAGACTCACTCTTACAGGATTAGAAAGCCCTTTTTCTGACGGGGCAGCTGGTGGTTTTGAACTGATGACCTTTGGGTTAAAAGCCCAACTCATAACCACTACGCCCTCAAAGCTCCTTGTGTATTACAAGACATCTATAAGATGTTATATACTAATATGTGATGGGGCTTCAAACATTGAAACATGGACTTAAAAGATCATGGAGTTTTCCATGGGATTTTTGAAGCCCCCTCGTATAATGTATATAGTTTAGGTAAAGCGAAGTATGTGTGTTTAAGTATACACAAACATGCATGAGGGCAAGTTAAAAGAAGGCACGAGAACCTTTACTAAACAAACATGTCGAAGTATGAAGCGTCTGTCCCTCCGCATGTTCTCTAGTTAGGCCTCTGGACGAGAAGGCGGTGTTTTCATCTCTCCCCTCCCTGAAAAATCTGCCGTCTTCTTTCATAATATGTCAAAAGGATGGTTTTACCATCCTCGGGGGACTGAAATCATGTTCCTTTTCAAAGTTCTTTGAGAATGGTGGAACATAAAGAAGCCTGAAGAGGCACAGTCAGGGTTTGGGGGTGCATAGGGCTAAGACTGCGGTTCTTAAACTGTGGGTTGCGACCCCTTTGGGGATCGAGCAACCCTTTCACAGGAGCTGCCTGATTCATAGCAGTAGCAAAACTATAGCTATGAAGTCGAAATGAGAATAATTTTACTGTTGGGAGGCCACCACAGCATGAGGAACTACTTTAAAGGGTCGCGGCATTAGGAAGTTGAGAACCACTGGGCTAAGGTGTCTCTCGTAGGATAGCCCTTGCTACCCTCAAAGAATGAACAAGTGCCTTGTTGTGACGGGAAAATGTTCATTGGTGCGATGTCTCTGTTCTTTTTCGTACCAGTGCAGTAGCCGAACACCTCCCTCCCCTTCCGACTGCCAGTCCTGAAAAAGGCCTGGCACTGTTTTAGTTCAGCTCGAAAGAAGAGCAACCCCTAGCTATTCTGAACGCTCTCCTGGACCTCCCTCGTGTGTTGTAGCAATCTGAAAGATGGAGAGTTGTCCTGCCCCTGCTCTCTGGCACCTGCCTTCTGTGGATGCACAATTGAGCCACTGCAGAGCATCGTGGCTCAGCCCCAGTTCCAAATTCATTTGTGCTCTCATTCACATGTTGGCATTCATTTGTGGATAGTCTGTGTGCTGCGGGAGACAAAAAAGCACCTTTTGTTTGTCTGGTAAATAACCTGCCGAGGGCTAGCCATGCACACATACAACTCATGCATCATGCAGAGGGGTTGTCTAGCCCATGGTGCTCTGTGCTCTGTGTCATGTGCATCCCAGCCAGGGTGGCCAGCACCCCTGAAAGGACCTGCTAAATGACCCATAACGCAGCCATGTATAATAAGGTTCAAAGAGAATTCAAATAATTGCTAAAGTGTATGTATTTCATTCCAGCAACACTCGTCGGGCAGCAGAGGTGTGGATGGATGAATACAAAAACTTCTATTACGCAGCAGTGCCTTCAGCCAGGAATGTCCCCTATGGAAAGTAAGGGTCCCTTGGTGTTGCTGTACTCAGGAGGCCAATACAAGAGTGGGTCCGGGGTCTGCCACACACTCCAGACTATGCTGGGCCTGGGGCTGGAAACAGCTACCAACGTGTAAAAGGTGGCCCAGTGGGCCAGGTTGAGCAAGGGCCAGAGATGTTAAGTGCATACAAATAGGGTGGACGGGCAGGGCACAGTGGGCATGTGAGGTGGGGCATGTGTTGGGGTGGGGCCCAGGGGATGGCACTTGTCCCAAGCAGTTCTTACTGGCAGGTTGGAAGGTTTGGTGTAGGAAACCCCATCCATCCATCCTAAGATTTGTAAAGGGCCTTTGTTTCCCCTCTTTAGTATTCAGAGCAGATTGGAACTTCGGAAGAAACTTAGTTGCAAGCCTTTCAAATGGTACCTTGAAAACGTCTATCCAGAATTACGGTGAGTCCTGGCATCCCCTTGTCCCTGAAAAAAGCACTACTAGAATCCCAGAGCCATACCCGTCTGGCCTGAGTTATCCCTCCATAGAACTGGAAAGAGTTCCATGGTGTCATGTAGTCTCAGATGGTTCCCCGTTGGCTCGATGTCAGACACCAAGTGACCAAGCAGCTCTGTCAATGGCCAGAGTATGTAACAGGCCAACCCCAGCCCCGTGTTTATTTTGCGGGCTGCTGCCAAGCCCACCCTGCCCAGGCACCTTGCTGACCTCGCTGTTCCGGCTCCTGGGGCCTCACCGTGCTGCCTTGCGCTCTGCGTGGCACTTCGGAGAGCACTTCGGAGGCAGTAGGTTGTACTGTGGAGGCGGAGATGGCAGCATTGCTGTGGCTGCTGTTGCCTCCCCAGTGGCCCAGGACATATGAGTTCCCAGCAGGGACTCAAAAAGCCCGAACTCTGCATCTTTTACGGTGGATGCAGTGCTGGGCGGACGGAGGCCCAGGGCCTTGCCCCTCGAGGCTAGCATTTGCCACGTGCGGAATGAGAAGGCCAGCACTGTGCCCCGCTTCTCTTTGTGAGCATTCGTAGCAGCAGGAATAGTCCAAGCCTGTTTGACACTGGCGGACTTTTCATCTTAAATTAGAAGCGGCTCCACATCCCATGGGACCCATGATCACCTTGTATCAGTCTGTAGGTCTGCTGGGCTTCAGCCATTGGAACTTCAGCCACTGGAACTTCATCTTTTTTAAAGGGACTATCAGTACCTTAATGTGGCACGTTCCTTATTTTAAATATTCCCAGAACATTTTGCAGCAAGTGGTATATCTCTAACTTGGTGACCTTGGATGCAGGCTTCCCCACCATTATCTCTGTTAATGACCTCTTTTGTGCCTGATCTTGGAGCTGGGCTTTACTTATCACTGCCGTGACTTACTCCGCTATTGGGGCTTGTTTCTTCTGTTTTTAAAGAAATGTATGAGACCCTTGCATCCTGTGCCCCTAAGAAGGCGTGGTAGAAACAAATGTTTTCTCCTCCCGGTCCCCTCTGCAAGGACGGATGGCTTTGCTGAGAGTAGAGCTCATGAAGCCACCCCCCCCAAGGCCCCTGCTGATACTGCTTCTCCCCTGAGGGGTACTCCACCGCTTTGAGTGCTTTCAGCCCATGTGGTGCTTTCTTTTTTTTCCTTTTCCTCATTCATAAATTTACACAAGTTCCCATTTGGCTTTTGCTGATACCTGTGACTTGGTGGGTAACAATGCCAAACTGAGTTACATTGAATGTATAGCTTCATTCAGGGTCGTCTGATTTGGGGTGACATTGGGTCCTTGATCTTACTTAAAACCACCCACTAAGCAAATTCGGCATTAAAAACGACCCAGTAAATCTCTGTTTTTACTGTCTGGGCAGGGTAAGGGCCCAAACCAACCAAGTGTTTTGTTGAGTGCTTCCTGTGGGCCAGGAGCCATGTGAGCTGCTTTAAATAAAAGGTGTCACCTGGCCTGTAAACAAACCTGTTTGGTAGGTGCTCCATAAAAGGGGAAGGTGCTCTGGTGGTATCGCGGCTAAGTGCTCAACTGCCAACCAACCACAGGTTCAACAGTTCAAACCTACCGCCTGCTGCATTGGATAAAGATGGGTTCATCTGCTCCAGTAAAGATTATAGTGCAGGAAACTCTATGGGGCAGTTTTACCCTGTCCTGTAGGGTCACTGAGTCAGAATTAGCTCAGCAGCAATGGAGCTATAGAAGAAGAGACAGAGGGTTAGAGAGACTTGAGTCTGTGTAAAGACCCTATGTGGCATGCGGCAAATACAGGACTCGAGTTCACATTCACTGCTGCACATTTTGCTCTTGCTCATTGTGTTAGTTTGACCCATATATGTATAAGAGAGAGTTTTATATATAGGGTAAGTCTACATTCAGAAAGCATCCCAACTCCGTCCAGTCCAAGCCCATAAGTCCAAGTTAACCCATATGTCCGACACCGATCTACACAGTCCTCCTCAAACTCACGAAACACACACAGTCACACTGAATGCAGGAGGATCACAGGCCAGTGGGTAGAAAGTCTTTGAATCCAGTGGCGGTGTAAGCATCTCAGCGCTGGCAGGGGTCTCCACACGGTTTCTCCAGCACCCAGGGCAGTATCAGGGTAAGTCCATGTGGCTTCTCCTCAGGGATGTCTTGCAGGAAGTGAGCCTTGCCAGCCAAGGCAGCCACACACTGGTCCAACCATCAGAGAACGAGATCAGAGAACTAGAAAAGTGAGGCTCACCAAGCCATTTCTCTCTCCGCCTTCAGTGAATCCCACGTGTGTTTATCGGGCAGGTTGGCACAGTAAACCTTCACTATCTCACTCATCATGCCTTAGTGCTCTTTTTGGTATGAGACCACTAGACAAATCCATTTACATTTTCCTTTTTCCTTTGTAAAAGGCACATCCTAAACCTGGTAAAAAGTTTGAGGCAACCCCATTCTGATCTCTGCTTTTCTAAATGACTTCTGTCAGCCCAACATCAAGGAGTATCTTCTCAAAGGTCAGGCTGTTCGGTGGAAGTCAGCCTTAGCTAAAAATGGAAGATGGCTACACCATTGCATCAATGCAAACCACGGAGAATCAGGGCCAGCAGTACTCTCGCCTGGTACCTAGAAGTTTGTTACTGCCAGACATCAATATTAGTACACAGAACAGTCCGATAGTACATTGTTTTACCATTGTCATAAATGCAAAATGTTGGGTTAATGAGAACTAGGTATATCCAGAACGTTTCCTTTTCAGGACATGTTCTTAATGTGGAATATTAATAACATCTTTGCAACTTAAAATCTGAAAGTGTTAGAAATACAGGAATTCAGACACACCTTGTTTCACTGACAGACATTAGCAGACAGTGTAAAGCCTCACAATTTGGCGTTTCTGATACTATAATGAAGTCACTGTGCAGAACTGCTGGTGGAGGGCAGCTGATATGCCTGGGGAATTAAGCAGGTGATTCTCACATTGCTTTTCAGGGTTCCAGACCATCAGGATATTGCTTTTGGGGCCTTGCAGCAGGGCACCAACTGCCTTGATACCTTGGGACATTTTGCCGATGGTGTCGTTGGAGTATATGAGTGTCACAATGCTGGGGGAAACCAGGTATGTGTGTGGGTGAACCAGGGGACCTGACGCCCGATAAGGGGAGGGCTGTGTGACCTGAGGCTGAAAATCCCACTGCCAGCTCTCTCTATGGTCAGCTCTGTGCCTGTGACCAGAAGTGCCTGGCTTCCACTGTACACAGCCCGCCTTGGGGCAAATAAGAAGCTGCCTAGTTGGCACCAGCACCACCATCAGCCTTGGCTTCTTGGGTTCTTAAGGACCGGGCCCTGTGACCATGCAAAATAGGTACACTGGCTACCTTTTTGTACTGGGCTCCCAGTGTCCAGGCAAGTGCAGGATTAGGGGCTTGATCTTCTTCCCTGTGTCCTGCTCCATCTTCTCTGCTGTGTGCCTTCACCTCCAAAATCCTGTTCTGTGTCTTATCTCTGGCCTCTGAACGTTAGGCACTTCGTAAGTGCTTAACAAACAAGGTCACTAGCTACCCACTGCCATTGGGTTGATTCCAATTCATATTGAACCTATATAGGGTTTGTGAGGCTGTAAATCTTTACCGGAACAGATAGCCTCATCTTTCTCCCATGGCGTGACAGATTTGAACCAACACCTTTGTGGTTAACGGTCTAACCCTTCCCTGACAGTGCCACCTGGTCAAACCTACAGTTGCTGCTAAAATTATAGCTCCCTGCCTAGAGATGAGCTGGTTGCGACATTCAATAATAATAGCTTAAGATTTCAAATGTTCATTATCAATGGCTGCACGTTCATCATGAACACCACCACCTTCTCTTATCTTTGGGGAGGGGAGGAAAAAGTGAAGGCTGAACAGGGCCTGACCTCTGGAGGTGAGGTGGGCAAAGGTCCCCAGAGCCTGCACCAGCGCCAGAATTCCCTTAGATTATATACGTTGGGGGGGGGGGTGGACTTACACATGAAACTGGGGAAAGCGGGGAGTTAGAGCACGTTTGGCCTGTTTCCATCTGTAGGCAAAATGAGATTAATAAAAGGCCCTCCGGACAGTGAGCTTGGTGAAAAGGAAAGATGAGAGATCGCCTTCTCAGGAGATCTCAAGTTTCATAGAAGAAGGAAAATGCTTCTCAATGTTTGCTAGCATGTTATTAACTCAGAAATTTGAATAATTTAGATAGGAGTGTCACTTTAGTTCATATATTGCAAAATAAAGGAAATGAAGACCCAAATCACTAGCTAGCTATATTTGATCGGTATTTGGGACTTTCCGTTGTTCAGTGTACTTCTCCTGCCCAATTAATCATTGCAATTTCCCTTTGCATATTTGAAAGGTTGTGATGGTGCCATTAAAGTTAGAACGGTCAGTCCTGACTATTTCAACAGCATCATGAGGAAGCCATATGTCTTGGTCTCATCCCATGGAACATTTTAAGTCAATGGCCCCAGCGCTTCCTAAAAGACTCCCAGCCCCTCTGCCCTGTCCTTGTGTCCCCACTGAGCTCAGGCTGCCATGTTGGATCCCCACCTTCAACGTGGCCTTGGGGAAGTAGCAAGCTTTCACTCTTCAGTGACAAGTAATGTCAGAGGCAGGCCCCGCAGTGGCCAGAAGATTAAAGCTTGGCCAGGCCCATGGGATGGCCTCTGGCTCCCCAGACCCTGCAGAATGATGGTCTCTGATCACCCATAAAGAGATGGCCACACATCCCAGCTGGCCAGCACATCCAGGTACACACCTGTTACCTGTATAAGGTTTATGTCCAAGGTGTTCCAATTGGCAGCACTGGTGACAAACTGTTCTGGGAATGTACTTTGAGGAGGAAGTCCATTGGGCCTGTGAAAGAGGCCACCCAAAGGTGGCTGCTTTCAGCTCTGTTCGCTTTACAGAAGGACATTAGGCAGTGGAAGCAGTGCTGTGGAGGGGACCCTTGGCTCGTGTGCTAGTCTGCCACTGTGTACCAGAAACCCCGGTGCCGCCTCCAGGTGGTTCCAAGGAAAAGGCAAGGGAATGTGGCACGGTGCTTCCTTCCTTTTCCTGTTTGCTCCAGGGACCATTGCCCTTCTCGCGCTAGGAGTCTCATCCCTTTTCAACAATCGCTTGCTGCAAGCCTCCAGTCCAGCAGTGTGCTGAGCCCTTGGGTATGCAGTCTGCAGGGCTCAGCCCTGCCATCAAGGAACTCGCAGGCAGGACCGCGGTCCCTCTGGCTCTCGGTTGTCTACTAGCGTGGCACACAGGACCGCCTGGAGATCTTTTATGGAATGTTGTTGACCCTGGGGTCCACAGAGAGCATCCGGATTTGCCATAGGTCCCCTACGTGATTCAAATGAACACCAAGAGTTTTCCAGTGAAGAGACAGACACGTAACCTAGAAGCAGTGAGACAATCTAATGCTTTTCCGCCCCCACACCTGAGAACATCGTCCTCTGATGACTTTGAAGCCCCATGAGCTACTTCTTAGAGCTGGGCAGGCTGTGATGATGGGAATGTTCTGTATCGGTGCTGCCCCCTTCTGTCACTGCCAGTCACATGTAGCAGTGGAGCTCTTGAAATGCAGCTAGTGAGGCGAAGGAGCTCAGTGTTCATGTGTTAGACAGGGTTCTCTCGAGAGATAAAACCAGATTGCTGATAACTTTATATATTTATTTATAAAGATAGATATAACACAAGAAATGAACTGTTAAATTATATACAGATAGGTATATGTATAA